GCGGCGGCGGCGGCGGCGGCTCGCAGCGGCGTGAACGCGGCGTGATGCGGCGCCGTGGCGACGTCGCACGCTCCGCCCGAGAAGCCCTCGTCGCACACGCACCGGTTGAGCATCTGCGTGCGAGAAAGACGAGGGAGGGGGGGGTTCATGAGACATGAAATGTGAGATGTTAGTAATGACATACAATAATTGAGATTATACAATAAATGCAGGGCTCGAATTTGCCTATTGCTAACTCGCAAAATGTGTGCCGATATTGAGAAATTGCGAGTAGAAAATATAAGCACTTGCTATTTTCTGCGAGTGGAAATTTATAGCATACACCGCATCTCACTGTCGATCACGGAAAGAATATATTTCATGATTAATGGTCAAACTGGTCGGTGAAATTGCCAGTATTTTTGTAAATTGTAATATTCAAAAAGTAGTTTATGTTGTACAAAAAAATTTCACGTTAGAATTCATTTTAGCACGTATATTTTTTAGGCACTCGATTTTTCGCAAGTGGCTAAAATTGCGAAATTTGTCGCCTGTAATGTGCAGCAAATTGTGAGCGAGATATTGAATATAGGGGACAGGATCTGTGAGACAATGAGATGATAGCGATGGCATACAATCACACAATAATGTACAGCAAACAGTGAACGAGGAAAGTAATGTTCTAGTAATAGCATACAATAATACAATAATGTATATAAACGATAAGCGAGAAACGTAATGTTCTAGCGATGGCATACAATAATACAATAACGTATAGCTAACTGGCTAACGGCAAGCGAGAGACGTTAAATACTAGCAAGAGGATGCAATAATACAGTAGTGCGCGAGATGTCAGAAACTAGAGCTATGTTTGGGAGCAGAAGATTGCAGCAGTGTTAAGTTTGTGATATTGTGCAGTTGCAGATTGTGCGGTAACGGACTCACGTGATCACAGAATCCCTGGTGCAGCCTCCACGAGCAGTTGCCGGGACAGTGCTCCGTCTCGCAGTCAGGTCCGCCGAAGCCATCCCGGCAACCGCAGGATCCGTCTGGCTTGCACTCCCAGTTTCCAGAGCAGCTTCCCGGGCATGCGTGAATCTGTCACGGGGTAACGAGATAAACGGCGTGTTAATCTAGGAAAACTCCCACTATCCGATTATGACCGCAACAAATCGTCCGGTAGCGACAAACGGCCGCGGGCTCGTTGTCAGAAGAACGTAATTAGTTAATAGTAATAGTTGGACTAATACTGAGTCTAGGATATCGTATATTCACACGATACTTGCATGTGCAGAAGTTATGACGTCACCGACTCGTGAGGCCACAAACGCGTTGTGACGCGTCTGACAACAGTCCGCCATGTTACGTGACGACCCCCAATTACGTAAATTATTCCGCAGCAGATTTTTAGTTGACGTCAGCAGCTACCTGGAAGATGGCCGTGAATCGCTGCCGCGTCAGGTTCCAGTTCTCGGTCGCGTACACGGTCAGGTAGCCGCTGCGCGCCTGCACCGTGAGCCCGCGCGGCGGCGCGCGCCGACCGCAGAACGCCGCCAGCAGCGTGC